TTGTTATCAATTCCGATTTCCGTCAGGTCATATCTATCTACTCGAGGCGCCAACAAAGGTATTGTTCCCATGGCATGTTTCGTACAACCACGAAAGAACTTAAAGAAGAAATTTTATTGAAGAATTCAATAACAGTTCGCTGTATTCGTTATACTCCTCGGCGACATATCGTCTCTCAATGATTTTCATTCCGACTTTACATTTGAGCCTATGTACGATTATATCCCAGGTAGCTCGGTAGGTAGGTAGTATCTGAAGTCTATTCACTCAAGCTACTCACACGGAATATCATCCAATTCTCGTTACTTGCAGTTTGCATCGTGTCAATCTTCCGAATTCGATCAAAGCTATACATACCGGCTCTCCAGGTATTTTTCATCCGTCCGTCCATCCTTACGTCCATCCATTCACCATCCTCATCTCTGATCTATCTATCTATGGTCAATCTCTGGTCCAAACTCAGTAGGAGCCGAAATAAAACCAACGGAAAGATCATCGTCCGTGGCCAGATTTTGATTGCAATTGCGCGAACGAACATGGATTCAGCACCTTCCGAGTTTCCCATTCCCCTGCTTTGAAGAATCCTTCCTGTATTTGGGGGGGGGAAATAAAGGATTTGGAGAAAATCTAACTCGGGTAAGAGGGTAGCTCGGGTAGGTAGTACGTGAGAACTGTAAAAGATCTCTCCTAAATCCGTGCAAACCTAGCGATGTTGTTGCTTGCTGCTGGTTAATCTAGAGGAAGGAAACTCTGAGCATATCCGAGTCCGATAACAGATCCACCCCCGTCCCTATCCCATCCCATATCACACACAAATGAAATGAGTATCCAAGGGAAAAGGTGATGGCTTGAAAGTATAACAGCTTGCATCCTTCCGTCTGGATGAAAGTCTTTTATCATGTCGTATTCATTCCACGAATAATGGTTGCATGAGGAGTGACGGGATTGTGCTTGATTTCGTATATGATTTGCTATGTCCATATTAAGACATTTGTGATGTGAAAACTTTTCCTCCGAATATTTATAGGTTCTTTTACATTTTAAAGAGTCTAGCTAATCTAACTATCGGGGAAGTATGCGATATCATTTTCTACCTCTTAGAATGCTGTTGAGACATTTCACGCGGGTGCCCAAGTGTGATTGAAGAACCATCTCTACATGTTCCCCTAATTTTCCATGAAATGCCCTCCTATCATTATCGCTACTCCTGTACCATCCCCTTCCTCACTACTCTCGCCAAGTCGATATCGAGAATTCCTATTATCAAATTATCGTCAATGAGGACCACAAAAATCAATCTTTCAATGTAATGTATACATCCTATCCTACCTTACCTACTGTGTAATGTAATTCTTACAAGAGCTCAACATGCACTGTATAATATAGATGTCCTTCGCCGCAGAAAAAGGCACAGTACATTTTCCTGCACTACACTGCGGCTACTGTACTGTTATGTATATATGTACGATAGGACCACATATCTGACCTACATTTACTGCGGAGAGAGGATTTTCCGTATTGCATGCACCGTATCATATCTAATTCTAGCCCCCACTGGTCGAAGAACAGGTCGAAACGGTACGAAACGATATGTACCGCCTCTTCTGATGTATGATGATATATTTGTACAGTATGAAACATGTAGGAATAGCAATTAGGAATCTTAACCATGTCATATCTCTATAAAGAAGCGTACACGCATAAATTGTAAGCCTAGGTTTTCAATTAATAGTTACCTAGGTAGTTACTCGAAAGCGATTTCGGATCAAGTTCAAAGTACCGGTCAACAGGTCTGATCAAATCAAGCCTTCGCCCTGCCCAGCATTCAACTGCATACTCAACCTAAGGCACTGCTTCCTACTGGTAAGTATTTGGTGATAGAATCACAGAAGTGATGGATATATGTATTTGAGCCAGACCACGTCGAATTCCGATTCATCCATTGATATCGGGGACAGTCCGATACTTGGCATCGTTTGTGTTATCCCAGCTTGTCAAGACTCAATATCATTGCTTAGTCTACGGGGAAAGATACCCGCGGGAGTGGAGAAGGTCTAGTTCCTTAACGACTCCCGAGATTCTTTCTAAGCTGCTCCGTCATTTTCCTTATGGTGACACCGATTTTGGTGACGCAGCTAACCTTACTTATAACCAGTCCTACTCACCAATTCTTGCCAGCAATAGGTTGCACAGGCTTTCGTATCAGAATCCTCAAGAATCAAAGCTTACAATAGAACAGCACGTACGAAACGAACTGTACAATTGAGGCACATATACAGCTCATAATCTTCAACGCTTCGGATGGGATCCGACTAAGAACGCTAATTCTCGGTATAGAAAAGCGCAAGAATTAACTAACACTGCCACCAACTCGTGTATCGCCAAATCCTTATATTTCTAAAGTATCATGCGGCACGGCAAGTAAGAATAAGACTCATTTCTTCATCTCGATATTCATCCCTTCATCCTTCATTTCATTTAAGTTGACAACCCGCCCCCAAGATCTTCAAATCCAAAACCTTCAGCAACGTTGCAGCCACACCTTGTTTTCCTCGTTCCTAATAATTCATCACACCCTCTTTTCTTCCCCTGTCTCGTTCAATTCCAAATTCATCGCACACTGCATTTCATCCAGGCTAAATTTACCAATCCGTCGGTTCGATCCATTAAGTATGTTTTATCCAGTGAATGAAGCTACTTAAAGTAAAAGATGCAGTAGTGCAAGCGTTGTTCTCCACACACACAAGTAATCGTACCTGAATAGTAGTTCTCCACACCACCCTCGGGAAATGGATTGGTACTAAGTCTCTCCTATTCGCATGATTTCCAGTTCCAGAAATCCATCTTTCATTCCTTTGGCGCGTTGAGATCTGAAGATGTGATTTGATACTATACATTCCAACATTCCGTCAAAATTATAGATCTAAAGTAGGAAATTATATCTCGATCCTCTTCTGGTTCTCATTTGCTCCTCCATCTTATTTTCATCTTGCGTAACACAAGTCCGACATTTGTCCTCCAGCCATTACCACATAAGATCCTGAGTAGATCATGCGTGGTTTCATGTCTTGCCGTTGCGACAGTAAGGGGTGCGTGCTTGTTTGTATCATAGAACGCGACAGTGAGACATCAAAGTCTAAACAATATTCCACTAGTAAATGATTGCTCAAGTGTTCAAGAAGAGATCTCGGTGTCGAGATTTCGCTAATCAGTAAGTCTACTTACAATTTCAGATTCTCATTTATGCTATCTTGAGACTTGAGGAGATCAATTTGGATTATAACCACCTAGAATAAAGAGAAAAATGTTACCTCTATATTGATACAGGAGAATGTAAGAGAAGTAAGAGAACGGCGCAAGAAACCTACCTATCTAGATATCGAACAATTAAAATTCAATTTGAAATGACCATGTTCCATCGCAATTCCTAATAGCAAAATACCTACTTCGTGGCTTTCGGCCCGAGAAGATTACTCAAGACTTCAACTTTTAATGCATTTAAAAGCAAGACAGCATGTAAATCATACATAACTTGGGTGTTGAACAGATTCCTTTCCTATATCTAGAGAGTTCCTCCAACTGTTCCATCAGTATCCACCACCTCAGAGACATGGCATCACGTTTTTTTACTCGCACACACAAGCCAATACACACACATATATATATATACCTAGAATTAAATAATAACAACCAACTTGATATCGAAGATCTGAAAGCCTGCTCAGTGTATTAAACTAGAGCGAAGCGAAAAGGCCTCCACGGCAGTGGCCTAGCGGAGCGTCACTTCAATTCTGAAAAGTTGATCTCTTCCTTCGAAAGGTAGGATTGGAAGCAAGATTTGCAACTTCTACTCTTTTGTGATAGATGTTAGAGATTGGATTGAACAAGCAGTTGCTAGCTGAATAGGGTGGCGGATCAACAGCTGTGTTTTGATGTATACGATACCTGTTCAGCTTCGAAGTGATTTCAGCTATTTGGTCTAGCTGATCTGTGTTGGTATCTCTTGATATCTCGTGCTACTTTCAGTAGAACAGTGGAGTAACACGATGAATCTTGACGTAAACACTTCAGATATACATGACTTCTCATCACATCCCTCACGTAAAAGACTCTACCAACACCAAGCTATCAACTCAACATCATATATGTATGACAAGTAATACCACAAGCATCGCAAAAATTCAAAGCACGAGATAGAAAAAGTAAATTCAAGTTTTGAGAGTAGAATTCAATTCATTCCAACAAGAGATCATAGTGATCTACAACTAAACTAACTAGCATCCCCAATACACTAACAACTTAAGCGAATGCTTAACGACTTCTCCCTCCTTTCCTATCCTTCGACTCTTCCTGGGGTATATTCATCATCAATCATCAATCATCAATAAACAAAAGAAATCCATCCTATCCATGCGTTCCATATCATTCCAAGAATGCACACACGTGCCGTCCCAAAATCAGAGTCCATCCAAGCCAGTCCCGCCGACAATCCCATGCCATGTCTGTTTCATAAGCAAGTCCAATGCATGCTTGAGGTGTCTGATTTCACCATCATCGCTATGCGCCCTATCCCTGATTCCATCATCGATCTTCCCGGTGAAGAGATGCCCTATCCTATCCTATCCATGCATATTTGCTATATCCCAAGCGAACACCCATCAGGGTATCGCATCATATTCCAATCCATTTCCTATCCAATCTCCATCGCATCCAAATCTCGATAGTCGTTTGAGTTGACGAGATGAGCAGCGCGCAAGTTGCAGCTCAGTAGTGATGACATGGAGTTGCCTCTATCGTTCCTTCTATAATCTGTTCGTTTCGAAAGTCGCCTGTTGAAACTGATGATATCTATCTAGTGTATCTATCTATTGGGTATAAAGTATTCTGATCTATTCATACTGGTTAGTTACTGTATTCTAAACTTTTGATATCAAAGGTTGGCAGATAGGGAACTTACCAAAAAAGAGATCCTATCCTAAGAACATATTCAAACAAGTCTTTCATTCACCAACTTCGGAGATGGGTGTCATGTGTTTGCTTGAGTGTGCACCAGAGCTGTGTCTTGACTTTCTGGAAGAAGATCCATGCTTCTTCTTGCTCTTCTCAGCTGCCTTTTCTCTCTTCTTTGCCTTCTCAGCAGCGTGTTGTGCGATTAACTCTCTCATGAGTGCTGCGTTGTCGACAACTACGTATTGAGGTTCGCACATCGATCCAGATGGAGAACGAACATTGGGTGTGGCGAGCGGTGAACAATCTTCTTCTTCAAAGACAGAAGTGTAGAGACCACATGAGAGTTCTTCGTCGGAGAATGCAGAGGAGGTGTATGAGTAGTTTTGGGTTTGGGCATCGATGGAATCGCTGGAGTTCATGGAGGAGCGTCGAGGCCAGGATGGGTAGGCACATGAAGGAGATTGTGGACGCGAGCTGGAGGAGGAGGGAATTTCCATTGCGGAGGAGGTGCTGTAGCTTGTTGAGGGTGGAGATGGTGTGTATGAGAAATACATTTTGAGTTGTTTGTATTTGTATTTATGTATTCGTATAGTTGTGTGTATTTGAATAACTTGATCGTTTCAGAGTTAAGTCTGAAGTATCAAAAAAATTCGGGGTCGATTCGAGATATAAATATGAATCACTCTAAGTACTCCTCACGGAAATATTCCTTAGATATTCTCAGACCGAGTCAGTTCGGAGCCTAAACACCTGAAAGCCCGTTCGTAATTTGCACCAAAGGAATCTCGGTATCGAGTTACACTGTTGGTGTGCAATGACTCGTTTTGGAAGTGTAACGATAAGTCTAGCGTCAGCCCTGCAAAGTACCGTATCGATATGCGATAATGAATGTCAAAGTCGTAGAGAATTCGCCAACTCGGTAGTTTACTCAGCCCCAGTATTTATAAGAAGGGATGATGGATCGAACGGGCAAACTCCGCTTATATATAAATATAGTCCGGAGTATCTCGGGGTCTGGAGAAATAGGCTTGAGGGATGGTAAACGTGGTAGTAGATGGTAATCGAGGGATGATGAGTGAGCTTCGGATGTAACGATATGAGATTTGATGAGGTCAGAATGAGTAAGTAGTTGTTATTGTTGGTAGTGGAGGTACTGAAGTTTGTATTCTGAAAATAGTTGGTTTGAGGGAGGCGGATATCAGCAAGTAATATAACTTTTTGAATCTGGATTCGAGAATGATGATGGATGAAACGAGAATTCCGTTGTTATATTAATATCAAATTTTGTTTGTTCGTTTTGTTTTTTTGTTGTGTATGCAGGATATAGCTCAGGTAGGTTTGCTTTATTCCTTTCCGTTGTGCTGTGGTGCATGCGTTGGGATATGTCGAAAATAATAATAATTATATGTAGGTACCAAAGTACAGCGTAGCGTTGCCATATAAAATTATATGTAGTCAAACACGAAAAAAAAAAAAAAAAAGTATGTACGTCCTTTGGAATGAATCATATATGATAGACCCCTTCCGGAAGCAGGCCTGAGTCGCGAACGAACATTTTACTTGCATTTGGGGAGCGGTGGGCTGCCATGTTTTCATTCTAATCCTTGTTTACTTTTTTACAACACTTGCGCATAATTTTTGCAACATGGAGAAAAATTGAAAGAAACCTAGTTCCCCACGCGCGGTGTAGGGGCAAAATGGATCTGTGGCTTTTAGTAATTCCGGAAGGCAGAAACACGTTGCAACAAACAAGGAGATTACCTGTTTAGTTCGCCAGTGTCATGTATTCTTCCCGTCTGAAAATAAGAGTTTTCAAGGCGGTGACTGAGAAATGATGGATGGATGGGGCACGACTGGGCTGGACTACTGACTCTGACAATCTTCTGGACATGGACAGACGGGGACGGGGAGATATGCAATGGGGAATTAGATTTAGGCTTAGCAGGATATCCATAATTTTACCGGTTTCGTTGGTGCGCACACATATTCGGTTCGCCTTACCAGGTGTATAAGATTACTTTGATAATTATGGCTACTGATCACAGATCACGAACTAGAAACTCGATGGAAGGAAGCATGTGCGCGGGGCATATGAAGGAAGAAACTTCAAGAAAGGGCCTTTTGGTGGGCACTATGGGGCATTTCATGGGCATTCTCATTACCATGTATATGTCAAAGAAAAAAAGCAAGGGAAAATGTCAAAATGGATGAGGACTAGAACTTTGGCCATGAGTTTGGGCAACGAGAAGCCTAAACTAAAAAACCACGGAGTAATAATTGAAAGTTTGAAACATTTTAAATTTTTCCTTATTCATGTTACGAACTAAACTACAAGGGTACTTGATTCTTATGGTAACGGTAGTACTCAACGGGGCCTTTATGTTGAGGGCACAGATATATCCACCAACCATTCTCGCTTCTCATAAGTACCCCTTCATCACGAATATTTCCATCACACATCGTCTAGACAAGAATATATAACCCAATCGGTGATAATCAACTGGGTCTTATGTACTTCAGAAATTTAATTGACCTGACCGCCAAATCCTCCTACCGGAACAAAAGTGAATAATTTGCCTAGATCGTTCATCTCCATTCGGTCAACAGTTCAGAGGTAACACGGTGAAGCATTTCAGCGTAGCTACCCCACGCCAAAGAGTACAAGACCTATCGGAAGTGCTCTATTCGTCTTGCTCGCGTCAAGCAACGTCTTTCACCGCTCTGTTTTTTATTGATCTACCTTGCATAAAACTTTGATTACCGTTCACAAATTCCTATTTGGTATCTTTACTGCAACCTTATTTCTCGAATCTGCGGTTTCGCTCCGTCAGCCTTCCGCTTTAGTATTCGAGTATTGATAGTGTTGATAGTGTTGATAGTGTTGATAGTGTTGATAGTGTTGATAGTGTTGATAGTGTTGATAGTGTTGATAGTGTTGATATGTATCGATAGATGACTATTTTCGTTGATCGCGGATTTTCAGGGTCTTAGAGTTCGATATTTGACGTGACAGTTCAATGCCGGAGAATCATCTTCCAGCTGACTTGGGTTAAGATCAGTCAAGAACTGACAAGACTCAAAATACAACTCAAAGCATGGATGTCGTCAACGCTTTCAGCATGAAATCTCAACTCAGCCGGAAACAAGGTAAATGAAGTCGGTGAGATTTGAATTCATTATATTTCCTGCACTTTCCCATTTTCATATATCACCCGGGTTCCGTCTCGACTCCTCAATATCCTCGTTTCGTCTCTTTCATCATACATATGCCAGATACCGTAGGGTGTTCGGTGCCTCGCCTCCGCAAATTGAACGGTCCGGCCGGTTACGGGTATGTGCTTTGACGAGTGCGAACGAGCGTCTTTTTTTCTATTTCTTTTTTTTTTTTTTCTTTTGCTAAGTTTTGAATATGACTCGTATTTCCGCAAATATACCCTACTTTGACAGCATCAAATATTTTTGATACACAGATCTTGATTTCAAGTTTTACCTCGTCGGAAGCTTTTCGGGGAATTGTCAAGTTCTAAAGGATTAGATTTTTTCTTGTTCCGCGGTGCATTCCCTGATTTTGGTCCAAGTTTTTAAGGGTCCATACGCACATTAGCCACAAAACGGTCGGATCAAGAAATAGTATGTATCTGTGTACAATAGGCTTGGTTTGATATGCGTAGAGGTCTGCTGGCTGAATCAAAAGAAAACAACACATGCCTTTGAATATGTCGTTTCAGATTCGTTCGAGGAGTGTTCCCCCATATCTACCCCGTATATCGCGGGGCCAGAACAGATCAACCACATGAAAGCAGATCTTGTGATAATCTTTGACCTCGAGACTCGAGTCTATTTGTTTCATTTGTCTACTCTCGAGTCCTAAGCAAGCCCGAGTTCAAGTCAACATCACCAACGGAAACACATGTGTACTAATGTATGTTATGTAAGTAGATCTTACCTAGGTTTACCCGATGATGTGAATGTGATCTCCCGCGCCAATGACGGAAAGGAAGGATAGGAAGGATAGGAAGGATAACGAGGACAATGGGGATAACAACGATAAGAGGTCAAGGACATGGATAAGAAATACGGATAAGAAACGGATAAGGATTTATCAGCTCGAGTCAGCTTAACATAACCCACATTTCTTCGCTTCATCCATTCCATCCACTTCTTCTAGAACGAATTTCCAACTTTTGGAAGTAAGACATTTCGTAAAGAAACCCCACGAACAAGAAACCCGCGATAAAACTCAGGTCTTCCCTATCGAATCCTTTTTCCAAGCTTGGAATGTAGAATGAACTCAAAAAACTCAAAACCTTGTATTACAATACCGAAATGCTCCCGAAGACGAATACCTCCTGCTCCTCTGCGACGAGTTGGCGAGCTGGCGAGTTGGCGAGCTGGAAGACAAAAATAGGAGGGAGTACAACACATTACAGTTCTGCCTAGTAAACTAATAGTAATCATTCTCAATCTCATCAATCAGCAAATCGTATACATGGCTTTTACGAGAATTGCCCCCAGTAGGATTCTTTACTGTGCAAAGTCATCAGCGCCCAAGAACCAAATGTAACGTTATTAACTTGATGCTGAGTCGATGTCGGGTTAATAAGTGACGGTGAAGAAAAGTCTTGGGATTATTTCCAATGTTCGTATGTGTGAATGGAATGGATGGTGGGAATTTGGGATATCGAATTTTCTTATTCGTCGGCGATGTACCGAGTAGGAATTCTGGGGTTACATGTTACTGTACATATCGATGGGATAGGTGAAATTCCAACATGTACGAGATAAGTAAGTGGTTTTGATTTGATAGGGAGTTTTAGGGTGATCTATGGGTGATCTATGGGAATGTGTGAATAAAATGATTGGTTCGTATGGTTGGATCTCATCTCATCTTATCTAAAGCCCTATCACATATTGGACTTCATCACCGTCGCATCGCCCGCTTGGTCTCACGAATAGTACGTTGTTATACTGTCGCTATCACAATGATAGGTTTCCAAGGTTCGAATTAGAATTCCCAAATTCCCCAGTTGTCATCACACAAATCCCGGAGCGTCCATTCCACTCCGTCTAAAGATTGCCTAGGTAAGGCAAATTGGGGTTGTACAACTAATCGTCATCTCATCTCATCACCATCACCAGTCCTCAGTCCTCAGTATCCAATACTATTTTGATACTTGTGACATCTTCACCTATCACCTCTGAGGTGACACATTCTGGCACACCTCCATCAACAAACTCCGTGTGGCTAAGCTCAATAACCTACAGACTGTAACGACAACTAATGACTCACATTCATATCACACAACACAACGGATGAATTTGTTTCGCCAAATATGAATTCGTCAACGTCGGCGAGTTGACCTTGACTCCCACAACATCAACGTATGTGATTACCACAAAATCACAACGTCTGGGTTGGGTTTGGAACGTTGAGGCATGAGGCAATTTCAATTCCAATCTCAACTTCAAATCAAAAGATATCTATCTACTCGAGTAATCGCCTCAACTATCCTCGCCGAGAGAGAGTTGGCAAATGTTGTAGCTCAACAGGCGT